ACACACACACACACACACACACACACACACACACACACACACACACAGCGTAGGCTGCTCGTCCATGGGGAGTCTGTCCGTTCTGTGAGGTCGGTCTGCAGGCCGGCGACCCGCCGCTCGGTCGCTCTAACCGATGGTGACGCCAAAGCCGCACTGGAACTTGTTCTTTTGGTGGTTGAGGAAGGTGCAGAGGACCAGAGAGAGCGGCAGCGGGAGCAGCTTCTTTTCTAACGTGGCACCGACTACCCAGTTACTGTCTACTGAACCTGGAGGGGAGGGGGGAGACGGAATATTAGGTGCGGCAAAACGTATGTTTACCTGTGTACTGCCCTGTTTACGCAGTACTCAATAAAAAGTGAGAAACATCGATAAATAGGCACATTTTTTCTGCACAAGTGGAGTAGTACATTTATTCAAATACTGTACTAAAGTACATTATTTTGAGGTTCTGAGGTACATGAGTGTACTTTATTTCCATTTCATGCTACTTTATACTTCTACTCCGAGGTAAATGCTGTACTTTTTACTACATAATATTCATTTGATAGCTTTAGTTACTTTGCAGATTTAGAATAATTAAACAAAATATAAAATCTACTAATAAATGAGGATATATTATTATTAGGTTCATTATTATTTTCCTCTGTCATCTATGACAAACAATTGCTGCTAAAAAATAAATAAACGTGACGCTCCCTGTGCAGGATGAATGCCACGGTGATGATCGTATTTGTGTTTCAGAGAGCACACCGTACCTTTAAACAGCAAATTAGCTTTAGGCACATCTAGCTGGTAGCCGAACGACACGCTGGTGTCCTGCATGCGGGTGCTCGCCTCGTACTCCACGCCGAGCTGCAGCTGTTGAAGAGCAGCGGACGGTTAGATCCTGAGGGAAGCAGCTTCGAGAACGTCTTCAGCGCAGCATTCGGTCTGGTGCTGCGTTTAGTTCTGAAGGGACGCCTCGCTTCGTAACATTCAGGGAACTATAAATCAACCTAACCTGCTTACAATCAAAAGCTGCTGACTGTCTGCATTGTGCGTGGACGGAGGTGGAGTTACCTGCTCGTTGGCTTTGTGATAGTATGAAGCATGAGCTCCCGCAGAGCCGAGCGTCAACGTGGCGATGTAGTTGCTGCCTGCAGAGAGGGAGGAGGCCAAGTCAATACTGGTTGAAGCGAACCGACACCAAACAAAAGCGTCACAGACTGCACCTGCGTCTCACCCGTGTATCTGCCGACTAAAGACACCACGGTGCCCTCCTCTCCCGGCCTACGGTGGTAAACCAGCTCCCCCCCCAGAGCCAGAGCCGGCGTTATGGACTGGAGGTAGTGTGTTACGACGATACCTGACAGGGGGACGACAGCAGTGAGCATGAGGTGTCCGGGTTCACAACAAGTCTATCTCTTGGTTAAATTAGAAACATTTAAAAAAAAAATAAAAAAGGATTTAAAGTGAGTTTAGTGTTTGTAGGACAGGATGGTGAGCGGAGACCCACCGGAGCCGACGAGGACATCGGGGTTTCCAAGAGTAATGGTCGCAGTAAAATCTTCTCCCTTGATCTCAGCGTCGCCTTGCCAGTTCACAAACTTGTTTTGTTGTGTCTGAGGAGGTGACGGAGCGTGACAAAGTTAACAGCACGGTCAGACTGATGTGACAATGACACATCGGCTGGTTATCGGCTTTTAAAAGAAGACATTTTGGTTAAGGGGAGACACCGCTGGAGAGCACGCTGAAACATTTTATTTAACAGATATCACCATGAAACTTCCCCAGTTGATTACTTACATGAAGACAATTATTATTTGTGAAAGAGTCGAGAATTCTCCCACAACCTCACCTACTTCTGAGGTGCATGTAGTGTTGTTTGGGCGTGTGGCCTTCATCAGGGTCACCCATCGATGATGATGGCCCCGATGAAGGCCACACACCGCAACGCTTTGGTCCAAACAATGGAGATGTTCTATTAACTGTCGATGGAGTTTTGACCTCTTGATTTACTTTTTGTATTTCAGGTTTGACATTTTATTATGTTTTATTTTGTGCTAATCGTCATACATTTCCAGAACAGAACTCTGAACGTTGGATAAAGCCAGGTTCAAAACTCGTTTAATTTTGTTGACATATTAGAGTCAAAGGTTTTTACAGAGGGGATTTGGGATCTCTCTTCATCACTGCACAAATGAGTAAACATTATCGACCGTCAAAAAAACCCCATTTCCTCCACGTTTTAGTAAGAAAATGTTGAATAAATAAAATGATATATAAAGAAACCCCTCTGTAAAAACCTTAAGAATATAGATAGGAATGAAAGTGGTTATGTTGTCAAAGTAGAAACAGATTGCAGCACTAAGAGCAATGAGTTGCATGAAAAGGTTCTAAAGGGGGAAGCTTTACCTGGAAGGCTAGTTTGGATCGTACTCTGCTGGCGACCTGGTGGATGATCTGGGCGTTGAGGCTGCCGCTGTTGTCCATGTCTCCAACCATGACAGGAAAAAACTGAACCAAAACCAGCATTTGTGTTACGGGTCATAAATAAAGAATATATATATATATATATAAAAAACACCTTTCAGAGGAGATTCACTGCGACTGTACTTCAGCATACCTCTGCCGGACCCATCTGCTTCGTTCCGACGTATGTGGCGCCGAACCTGTAGGTGGAGTCTCCCGTGGTGCTCAGCAGCACAGTGTGATTCACCTTAAAGAGAGATCACAACAGGAGCACAACTCAAAAAATGTGCCCTTTAACCATTCGCAGTTCATTTCCTTTGGTCTGATATATTTGAGCTTCTGAGACGTAGGCTGTATTTTGTTTAGCAGTTAGTGAGAAACTGTTCCAGTGTGTGTGTGTGTGTGTGTGTGTGTAAAAAGAAACTTAACTGACCTGGAAGTGGTTGCTAAGGCCCTTGTTGACGAATAGCCTGACACCCTCCATCTGCATGGGGAAAACCTCTGAGGGAAAAGGAAATGCAGAATAGACACATAATAAAGATAAAACCAGGTTATAAATCATTTAGTGGATTCTTATTTGAGTCGAGGCTTAAGAGGTCACACCACGCTTCTCATGGCTGTCTTCAATTATCACCAGTCACCTTTGCACTTGCGATGGCACTCGTCAAATCCACCGGGGTTAGGTAAGGAGGAGTCCGCCTCCTCCTCCTGTCCCGAGGCTTCCCCAGTGGGGGGTAGAACTGGGGGCATCCCGAAGCCTGGCGACACCGTCAACCCGGGGGAGGGGGCGGCGGCGGCACCGCCGGAGGAAGGGGGAGGGGGGTTGGGGGAGCTGGCAGCCAAAACACTGCCCATTCTAGCAGAGAGAAGTTAGGGGATAGAGCAGGAGAGAGGGTGAGAGACTGGAGAGAGTATTTGGCTGTTAGTACCATTGAGTCTGAGCAGGTGCATCAACAGAGGAGATAAGTAACATAAGATCAGCTAACATACTAAGAGCGGTTAAGATGTAGGTTACTGCCACACTATACCTAATCAATAACAGTTTTATTGATGCAGGCAGGCCAGATAATCAAAAAACGTAGAGCACTCTAACATGTAAAGTTGTGAAGATGGGGGGCTCGGAAAAGACAGATTTTAAGGAAAGAAATCTGAGAAGCAGAGGCCGAGACATCCTCTCAAAATACACATAAAACAACCCAATAGTGTCTTTCATTAGGCTTTCCATGCTCCGGGTAACAGACGTCTTTCAAACTCCACTTGTGCAATTTGAAATGGAAAACATTTTAATAACCGATGCAGTGTTTACGCCCCGATCCCTCATCAGATAAGATAGGACTTGCTGTGCAGCAGTTGCAGTACAAAGAATCAATAAGCAGATGTATTTTTGGCAATGTTTACATTTGGATTTTGTATGATTAAGATAATCGGTTGCTCATTTCTCAAGTTGCTTCTTGGTGGGTTCCCTGACATCTCACGCTGATTGCGTTAAAAACACAGTGCACTGACCGTAATGCATCCTCATCCATTAGTTGTTGGTTTAATTACCTTAAACGACTGATTAAAGGGGACAATACCTGCGTTTTTGGGCAGCTTTAACATTATTTAAACACTAAGTTGGTTATATACGAGCTTTCAGAGATACCTAATGTTTTTGTGAACGCTATTTTCAAGTCAGAAACTGGTAATTTCGTTAACTCGTATAACAAGAACACAACACACCCTGATGACAATCATTGGGTTATTTTCTCAGACGTTTGAAAGCTTCCCTCAGTGTTAAAGAAGGCATTCAACGTACTGTGTCACAGGCCTCAGGCGGCGTAATACTAAGGTGTAAACTAATCTTCACGTGCACCGTTACAATAGGTGGAGTGCCCCTTTAACCTTTCGCACAGATCATGCTCATTCATATGAAGTTAGAGCAGCAGCAGGTGAGAAAGACCGGCTAATGATAATAAATCATTACGTCTGTGGCGGAACTGGGTTTCTGGTTCCTGCTAGGCACTGCTTTCTTTAAAAGATGTCGCTAATGTTTTGAATGAAACCTGTCTCACCTACAAGCCTGCAAGAAAAAGTTAGCTAAGCTAGCTTCCAACCAGCAAATGGCAGGCTCAAAACAAACGGTTGCTCCCGGTATAGGGAAACAAAGATCACTTTGTGAGATTTCAACTGCTAAAAAACAGCTAATATGTTCATATATTTCCAGCTAATCCTCTTATTACGTAAAACACAGAGCTAACGGTAGCTACTCACGTTGTGATTTCCAGAGGACGATGCAGCCGGAAGTTAAATACGGTAGCACCAAAGAAGAAGACGTGAGCGACGCTAGGGCTCCGCCTATTTTCTTAAGACGCGTTATGATTGGATGACAGACCATGGCCCTGAGAAATGATTGGCTGAAAGACCTGTCGCTCAATTTGTGTGTCAGAGGAAACGAGGGCTTGCTTTGTGGCCGTGATGTCACACTCTTACTCAAAGACTATTGGCTAATAGGAGTGGGGTGCGTTGCAGAGGGGCGGGACATTTAATTCTGAAGTTACCGATTGGTGGAGAGCTGCAGATCGGCAAAGCGAGTGAAGTAAAACGTTACGAAGGAATAGCTCAAGGTCAAATGGCAGCCTGAGGGTTTGGATGTTGCAACGTTCTCAAAAAACAGTTTATTTGTGAGCTGCCGCAACGAGAACATTTTTGTCGTTGTTCCATATGAATTTTGTAAGTCAATCAATCTGTCGCCCACTAATTACCAGAAATCGCAGTTCCGTCTCGGTTTTATCGATTTCTATGCTTTCAAATTGTCCAGCAAGTACTTCCTGGAAATCCGAGTCACGTGAAAATCAAGCATTTTGAACTTCCATTGACGAGACTCTTTATACGTCTCTGCTGTGTACAATTGAATGTATTGTAGGAGTGGAAGCTGCCAATTATTTATATTGTGTATATATGATGGATAGTCCTAAATGTTATTCAAAGTAAAATATGAATCAGATTAGTTTGACACAGGGTCCCTTTAAAACGTAAGACCACAAGACTACATAATTACACAGGACCAAGTTGATAGTCCTGAACATTACAGCCATTTGGCAGCATTTTTCCTCCAAAGTGACTTACATTAAACGTATTAGTTCTCCATCAAAGAAAAGCAAGATGTCATCAAAAAGGAAATCCCTTCCACACACACAGAAAGAGTGAGTTCAGTGCTATTAAGGCTATGAGACCACATTATGTATTCGAGTTAATAATAAAATACACACCAGGCTGCGTAAATTCCAAATCAATTTATTGAATTTTATAACCCCTGCATGTCGAGGACAGAGTGATCAACACAAGTCGATGAAATACCTTGTGCCTCTCTTATGCATTTTGTAAGGAAAGAAAACAAGCGATGCAAGAATTACTTTTTTTTTTTTCTTCTTTTCTTCTGGTACCATCCGATAGTGAACATATTCTAATGGTATGAAAAGGAAATCACGGGACAGTGAAGGAGGGAAATTAATAGACATCCAAAACATGGAGTCTGGTTTTAGGTTATCACAATTGAAGTCCAAAAATGATGCAACTCACTTGAACATTGGGCTGAAACTTGTTTTGGGAACAGCAGGGGCACCAAGGTACCAATAAGTACAGAGGCGACTGAAGAACTCAAAATAAAAAAGGAGGGTCTCAATGCAAGTATGAGACATTGAACTGAACCAAAATGTTTGCGAGCCAAATTAGAATCATACCGTTACCACTCCTTCATATCCACGCTGTAGACAAAACGCTACAATTGCAACTTTATCCTCAGCTACATCAAAACAAAAAAATGTTGTCCAACTTTTCTGTCCATGTTGCAGGGGAAATACAATGGGGACTTAAACCCTCAGCTTACTACAGCAATTCTGCAGAGTTCTTCGTTACGTTTGGCTGAATTAGCCTGAAGTGCGGGTGAGTCTTCATTAGTGCAGCAAATCAAGAGATCCAATTCAATTTAGCTGTGCACAGCAGAAATTAGGGGCAGTTCAGCCGTTAATAAAAAGGTCAAGAAGCTCCCACCAATTTAGAATTTGGAGAATCCCAGAACTGCCATTTTGTATCCAAAACCTCACCCTTTAATTTTTGTTTTTTTTAAGTTACCCTTTTCAAACAAGTTTTACAAATATCACTCCCACCCCCCCTTAAGCACTCCGGACTCTAAAGGCCAGAGTGCGCACACACACGCACACACACACACACACACACACGTGTACACGCACGCACACACGCACGCACACACACACGCACGCACGCACGCGTACACGCACGCGTACACGCACACACCTCGATACCACCAGATGACAAAAATCAACAGAATCACTCAACAACATTTATCATGAGCTCCTTTGTGATGCACCATTTTGTCCTCGAGATCTTTAGCGTCGTAGCTCCAGTCATCGGTTGTACTGTGTTTGATAAAACTCATCATAACAGGTCCAACACATGGCCGGAGATACAAACACTCGAGTAGTTTTTCTTAAAGGGGTTGAGGATTTTGAGAGCCAATTTCTGGGATGAAGTCTAATATTTAGTTTGTAGCCAGGAGCCAATCAGAACGCTATCCCTTTAAAAAGGGTCTCGACAGGTTCCGCTGTAGATCTGTGTGATCTTTGTTATTTGGGTCACAAAGGAGACGATGGAATGACTGTCAGGGACGTGATCGGGGACATAAAACAGAGAAGAACAGAAAAGTGTGATTAGAAATATGGTTTTAGTCCACAAACTGAAGCTCCCGGAGGAAGAGGGCGATGGAAAAGGAGAAACAAAAATCACATCCCTGACTGTAAACATCCTCCACACTGATATTTAAGACGCCGTACACCGCCGACAAATACACAAGTCTGTGCATGAAAACACCGACACGAACAAAAAGACATCAAATAATTAAGTTTACACGCAGCCTCACATGGTTAAACGGACAGTTCCGTTCTTATTCCAAGTTCACCAAGTTGTCTGAATTTCTGGTTTAGTTAAAGCTGCATGTAAACGTAATGATTCTTAACTAAACTCAGCCTGTTGCTGCTTTAAACGTACCTCTCATGCCTTCCTTCTTTCATTCAACTCAACACACACGTCTCTCTCTCTCTCTCTCTCTCTCTCTC